ACAGTACTTGTTGATAAAATGGAAATGTATTGGAGGTTTGATGACAGGACGTGATGTCAGAAATTTGGATATTGAATTTACAATGTATACTTGCTCTTTTTTTCTGCCACAGGGGCTTTTGAATGCTGCGCGAAGAGAGAAGACGCCGGTTTCATCGAATTTTTTGTTAAAGTAACTGTAACCTTTTTTCCGTGTGACGTCTATCGGGGAGGGAAGGGGGGGGGGGGGGAGGTGAAACTTGTGTCACCGGCGGTGGAAGCTACCCTTGCCTGGGTCTTTGGTCTGAAATTGGGATCATATCTCCAGCTTGGGATGGAGATATGTCCTCTTTGCAGGTCTTAGCCCCAGGACGACCGTTGTGAAAGTGTGTGTGTGTGTGGTTGCCGGCTGTTTTGTTGCGTTCTGTTCATTGTCTGTCTGTTCGTCTCCCTATTTGTCCGGGCCCACTGTGTTCACCCCTTGTTTCAGTTCCGTTCGTCTCGTTGAATGTTCAAAGATGCAGAGTTTGACATTTCACTAACACTTTTTGTTTCTTCCCAGTTTTCTCTTTTCTGTGTGTGCAGATTGAAGATGAAGGGCCACAGAAGTAAGGTCGTCCAAGTGCAGCATTCATCTCCCACAGGTAAATGAGTAATGTTTCTCCTTGCAAAACGTCTCTGTTTTGATGCGCTTCCTTGCATTTGAATGGGCTTGCTGGATTTTAACGTGGAGGTAGACCTTGGGGTATATCTTTGGAGTTTGAGATGGCAAGTTGGACATACAGTACTTGTTGATAAAATGGAAATGTATTGGAGGTTTGATGACAGGACGTGATGTCAGAAAATTGGGATATTGAATTTACAATGTATACTTGCTCTTTTTTTCTGCCACAGGGAGCTTTTGAATGCTGCGAAGAGAGAAGACGCGGTTTTCATCGAAGTTTTTGTTAAGTAACTGTAACCTTTTTTCCGTGTGACGTCTATCGGGGAGGGAAGGGGGGGGGGTAAGGGGGAGGTGAAACTTGTGTCACCGGCGGTGGAAGCTACCCCTGCCTGGGTCTTTGGTCTGAAATTGGGATCATATCTCCAGCTTGGGATGGAGATATGTCCTCTTTGCAGGTCTTAGCCCCAGGACGACCGTTGTGAAAGTGTGTGTGGTGGGTTGCCGGCTGTTTTGTTGCGTTCTGTTCATGTCTGTCTGTTTCGTCTCCCTATTTGTCCGGGCCCACTGTGTTCACCCCTTGTTTCAGTTCCGTTCGTCTTCGTTGAATGTTCAAAGATGCAGAGTTTTGACATTTCACTAACACTTTTGTTTCTTCCCAGTTTTCTCTTTTCTGTGTGTGCAGATTGAAGATGAAGGGCACAGAAGTAAGGTCGTCCAAGTGCAGCATTCATCTCCCACAGGTAAATGAGTAATGTTTCTCCTTGCAAAACGTCTCTGTTTGATGCGCTTCCTTGCATTTGAATGGGCTTGCTGGATTTTAACGTGGAGGTAGACCTTGGGGTATATCTTTGGAGTTTGAGATGGCAAGTTGGACATACAGTACTTGTTGATAAAATGGAAATGTATTGGAGGTTTGATGACAGGACGTGATGTCAGAAAATTTGGATATTGAATTTACAATGTATACTTGCTCTTTTTTTCTGCCACAGGGAGCTTTTGAATGCTGCGAAGAGAGAAGACGCCGGTTTTCATCGAAGTTTTTGTTA